CCCCCCCCCCAACCCCTAACTCTGCCTTCTTCTGAGAGTAGCTGTCTCAGTCGGTGTAGCACAGAGCAGCCTGACACACATCCGGCTGCAGGAAAAAGGCGGCCTGGCGTTCCGAGCGGATCCCCACTGAAGCGCTTTCCGCGGATCCTGCTCGTTCTCCCCCTTAGGCTAATGATACTCGCAGATTTGCCCGATTAAAACCTACAGGAGCCAAGCCGCTTCTTGGGAAATGAACACACACTTTCCATAAAACTCATTTTCCCAGTGCCGCCGCACTGCCGGATTTACTGCAAACATGCATGATGGAGTGTGTATGACAAGTTAATGGTGTTAATTAAAAATTTAAAAGGCCGGGAATGGGAATTTCAGACGGTCCCTAACTGGGCCATTAAAGCAGGAGTCGCCAGGTTCTGTTCTCTCGTAAACATGGCCCGTTCTCACCGACCCCTCACTATTACCACCTCTGCTTATCCTTACTCCCGTGCCTAGCTTTACAACGTCCAAATTTGGGGTCGGTGACCCCCTCTGAATGACCAGGTGCGCCCCCCCCACCCCCGTCAGACTACAAACCAGAGAGAGAGGCCTTTTCACGGGATTTAACCTTCTCCTCTCCAAAAAGGCTTTACAGCTTCCAAGAAATGAGTAACTACTCAGCTCAGCTCAGTGACGAAATCCTAAATGAAATATCCTGACATTTCCTGCTTTACTTTTGCCTCCCTTTCGATGTTAACGCCTTCAGCCTGAGCCGAGGACGCTACACTGCCGGTAATTAAAACATGCGATCTTTATAACAAATCCATAGACGGAACAAGCCTCTCGGACCCCAGGTGCCACAGGTGAGGCCTGAGTATCAGAAGAGCACAGTGGGGATTTGGCTGCATGGTGAGCTGACAGAGATTTGCCGTGTTCTGATACGTGGCTCTATGAGCAGATCAACGCGGCGAGGAGCTCAGGGTGGATGAGAAGCCATCGTGCTCAGCTCGGAGTGGCACTGCTCAGCACGGTACAACATGGCGAAGCCACCAAATCCACTTACAAAATACATACGATGAGTTTCCATAGTTAGCTGTCAGTTGCATTTCGTATTATTTTTTTTCGTGTGGTGGTTTAATTTGTACTTGGCGGCTGGTAGTTAAACTGAAAATTTCAACACCAATGTCTTTTTGAAAACTATTTGATTCTGAATGTGATTTTGAGAGTGTCAGAGTGGTAAGAGAGAAAAAAAAAAAACTGTTAATGAGAAGCACCAGGAGCCAGACGTGGTGTCCAGGGGGAATGAGAGAGATGGAGAAAGGAGAGAGAGGTGTCATACGGGCGAGCAGGCGGTGATGTCACCCTCCCGTTGCCTAGCAACAATAGACACTAACAATAGTAGACAGGAGATGTGAGATAGCCAGCAGATAAAGAGAAAAAAAGTGGAGAGCGGGTACTGATTAAGGGTGTTTTAGTGTCTAGGGCTATATTCTGTGGGGATCAGTCCACATGAATCCTTGCTGAGAGAAATCGAGGAGATGTTTAATGGAAAAAAAAAGGCTGATGAGTGCCACGTGTGTCCCTCAAGGGCCACCATAGATACACAGAAAAAATCACCTCCCACCCCCACCAGTTACACACACAATCCTCAGACAACGCGATCTTCACACACATCCAGCCCAAACCAAAACCACATGCACCATGAAAAAACAACCCAGAAAAATCAAATTCTGGTGCTTAAACTTTTTTTATGTCAACATATTTCCAAAGCAGGAATGTACTAGTTTATTCTCCTTTTCCAAAGGGGGGGGGGGGGGGGTCAGAGGAGTTACATGTATACAGGGGTCCCTTCACGGTAGTGTCCCGCAGTCTGCACATGGCCTGTGAGCCAGAGCCTTTCCTCTGGCGCGGTGACCACAGACACACGAACAGAGAGGAGGGGATGTAGGGAGGTTTCCCCGTTTTTCCGGAACAGTCCTTCTCACAAGTGTCCATGAGAAAAACAGCAAAGAAGATATACATAGGTGATTTGTTTTTTTTTTTGGCACAGTCAACCTATAAGGACTCCATGGGAGACGTGCCCATCCGCGTCCCATACTGATGATGTCAGACAGCGGTCTGCACACGAGATGCCCGAGAACATCACACCTACGACAGACCCGACAACGATGGACTGACAAGCCGAAGGGGCTGCTATGAAGACAAGAGTGAGGTGCATGGTGCAGAGGACAGGGCACACGGTCTGACAGGAAACCTGGAGCGACTGCACCAGCACACACCGAGACTCGGAGTGAAACTACACTGCAAATAACAGAAGACACCAGATTTTGATGGAAAACATATTCCCCTTAATACTAATCACAAACCAAATTACGGCTACCTGCTTTTAAATTAAACCAGAGAATAACATCAAGAAACATTCACATTTGCCAAGGTAACATCTTTAAACGCAGCTTTGACTGAACAAGTTCGTATGCTGTCACCAGGCCGCGGGTCAAAGTCCTGGAAAGAGGTGTGGTCGGCACGGCGATGAACATCCATGTCTCTCAGGATAGATCACCGGGGGGCGCTCTTCCTCTGCAAAGTCCTTGGCTGTGCTGACAACAAAACTGGTGGCTTTCTTTCCAGCTGTGCACAGAGAGCGCGGTCGGCACAGAGATGGCGGCTGTTTCCCTCTGTCCGCCGCCGTGTCTGAGGTCGTCCACACCACAGATCAATGAGGCTGCCCAACGTGTGCTTGGTGATGGAGACTCTGAAGGCGAGTCTGAGGCTTTCCCGTCTGCATGTGCTGCATGTTTACGTCACAGGTGATGCGTGTGCTTCTGTTCTCCCCTCACGCCAGCTTGCTACTGCATTGGTTCCGGCGAGTCCATTTCTTACAACAACAGGTGTGTCCCACTCCTCTGGGCCAGGGAACCGCCCCGCACATCCCCATCGGACCCATCACATGCTGACCTGCCCCCCCCCCGTGTTGGAGGTGGGGGTGCACCTCTCTCTGCTTCCAGGTTTGGCGTCAGGAGGTAGGAACACGCCAATGGAAAAACAAAAAAGCAAACAGCAGAAATCGAAAAAACAGACGACGTGACGTGACGAACCAAACACAGGATCAATGCAAACGGCGACGTGTTCTCCATTTCTCCATCTCTCTGTTTTTCTTTTGTCATCCCATCATTTTTGAAAGATGTCCCAGTCTCAGCCAGAGCAGGGACGAGGCACCACTTACATACCGTGAGAGTCCTGGGAGATGCCAGTCACCCCCCTCTCCACAGAAGCCGGCTCTGCCCAGCTGTCCCTGTCCGTTTCAAAGGCCACAGAGGGCAGAATTCCCAATCATTCAATGCGACTTCCATTGGGACCATTTCCTGTTCCACGTTATTCATGTCTCCCACCCAACAGTCATTGTCGTCTTTGGACCCCTGTATGCCCCCGAAAACAAAAATTTTTTTTTTCTTTTTTCTCTATTTTTTTGCAAAAACGTGTATTCTTTTAAAACTTTAATAGATTGATCTACCTCAGCACCTCCACAAACAAGCTTTAATTTCAAAACTACAGCGTTTTACAAGGAGCTATAAAAATATACATGGGGAAGGACTGGTAGGCGAGGGGGGAGTGGTGACAGGGAGAAGAATCACCACGTGCGAGAAAAATAAAGATTAAATTAAATTACAGCACAATGGGGTGAAAAGATCTAGGGCAATCTCTGGCTAAAATTCAAAACTCTTTCATAAGAAATGAAGGTATAAATGCGAACAGTAATTGTGCCTAAAACTGAAAAAACTGTGATAGAAAAAAAATCTAAAGTTATTTATGGTATATGTATATATAATCTATACACATAATGGAAATAAACAAAATCCGATGATTTTTGATATTTTCTCATGTTTTGTGACATTTTGGTTTTAAAAACTGCCTACGACACGCAAACACACAGGTATACACACAATGACACACATGTTCACTGTTTATTCACTGTCGGTGCTCCATCAGAGGCCCTGGCACAGTTTGTCTCTCTCGCACGCACACGAACACAAGACGCACAAGCTGACCGGCTATCCTAGACTAGCACAGCTCCAGCCGGGGCCCCAAACCCATCGGCTTGTCACAACCTTCCAGTCACTGCGTTTTCATCGGTAGATGACAGAAGGTCGTCTTGTACATGACAACCAAAAGAACCAATAAGGAGCTCCGAAGAAAAAACACACACACACACACACACACCACACACACACTCGTGGGTTAGCGGTGGCCTGCAGATCTCGTGCTCTGAAGCCGGCCTTGAAGGCGTCTCCCGTAAACAATTCCATCAGGCTGTTTGCTCCCCCCAGGTCTTGGTGACGTGGCTCTGAGAGGCAAGGCAGGGCCCCCCCCCCCCAAAGTAAAAGCTAGACCCCGTTGAATGGAGCCGCCCTGTGATTGGCTGAAAAAACGGCGCTGGGAGGAGGACCCAGGTAGCTTTAGGGGGCAGGTCAAAGGTGCAGAGGGGTATGGGAGGGGGGAGAGGTGAGGGCAGGGGGGGCATGAGGTGCCTCATACTTTGTAGTAGATGTTGGCAGGGCTCTGGGGGGGCATCTCCTGGACGATGTAGACAGGGTGCCCGTAGTCCCCGCTGACCTTCTCGTAGTGAGGGCAGTAGGCCGAATCGGAAGTCCGCAGCGGGATGATGATGTCACTGGGCTCGGAGCCGTTGTTGTTGCCCCCACCACCCCCGCCTCCCCGCTTGGGGCTGGTGAGCGAGGACAGCGAAAGCGGCGGGATGTGCGACTCTGAGGGCTTGGCGTGCCGCCGCCGATAGCACACGGCGCAGATCACCGCTGTCACCAGCAGCAGAAAGGCGGAGCCTCCAGCGGCCCCCGCGATCAGCGCCACGTTTGAGGAGGGCAGAGGGCCGTTCTCACCCCCCGCCCCGCCGCCTCGCGTGTACGTCGAGTTCCCGGAGCCGCCTGGAGCAGGACACAGACCCAGAGACACCTTGGTGACCTTTACTGTGACCGGCACAGAAAGCGCTGCTTCCCCCTGAGAGTCTTAAAGCGGGGGGGGGGTCACCGGGCAAACGATGCAAAGCAGCGGCTCATGAATTCTGAACAGGGAGTCTGTTCATGGAAACCCTTGGAAAGGACACTGAGGTTTTACCCTTGAAAAAAGCTTAACCTGAATCTTTACCCTAAATATACAGATAAAGTGGTAAATTACAGGATAGCCTACTGTGAGTCAAAGCATCTGAAAATAAAGTAATGACTATGCAAACAAGCGAGAAAGAAAAGAAGATGCTTCAACCCCTGCTCCGCCTTTCCCGGCTTGTCATCCTCCTCCTGTTCTTCATGTTGCAGGGCACACAGTGACAATACTGCCCTCCCATCGTCATGAAGACGGGCTTCACATCTGCATTCCTGCCTCGCTCTCCTCCCGCCTTCTGTTCATTCTTCCCCCACCCTCCCTTGCTCTTTCGTCCCTTTTTCCTCCTGCCCCTCACCTTGAGTGCCCCCCCCCCCCCATCTCTCTCTGCCCCCCTGCCTCTATTTCCTTTTATTATCACTTCCTTTCTTCTTCCTCCTCACACCCTCCTGCTCTTTTCTCTCCAAGGACCGACAACAACCAGGGCACCAGACTAATGACAATAATAACTCTCTGAAACGGCCCTCCTAAGTCTCCAATGGTCTCCTTCCCTTCCTCCCTGGGGGGCTATCACAAGGGGGCTACAACAAGGGTCTATATTCTTAGCCTGAAGCACAGCCTCAAGCAGACTTCAGAAGGTACCAGAGGAGGGGAGGACAGGTGGAATTTATTAGCAGAAACCAACAACGCAAAATCCCTGTAGCTTTTTCCCAATCTCTCTGCATTCATCACTCTCCCACATGGCCCTGCCCCCTACTTCACTGCCCTTTCGGATGGCCCTGCCCCCTACTTCACTGCCCTTCCGGATGGCCCTGCCCCCTACTTCACTGCCCTTNCGGATGGCCCTGCCCCCTACTTCACTGCCCTTCCGGATGGCCCTGCCCCCTACTTCACTGCCCTTTCGGATGGCCCTGCCCCCTTCCCTCAGTACCTGGGTTCCGGCTGTCGGTGCGGCCTGAGTTCTGGTCTGGTTTGACTGGCTTCGGGGGCAAACCATAGGGGCCTATAGAAAGACAAGATGGCATTACCCAGAAGCACATGCTGAGATACCAGCTGATGACAAAACGGCTGATCAGGCTGAGTGCCCATTATAACCACTCCCTGAGATTTAGAGGGTTACAACTGGATGAATTAGTCTTTTCAGTATTTGTGGTCTTGGCAGAATTCAATGAGTGATGTTGTATAGGTCTGCTGAGTTCAAATTCATCGGTCTGTGTTCCCTTTTATATGTACTGTTTTCGTCTGCTCGTTTCGAGGTCGTCTGTATGTACTTTTTTCATCTGCTGGTTTCGGGTTCACTGTATGTACTGTTTTCTTTTGCTGGTTTCAGGTTTGTGTGTATGCGCTGTTTTTGTTTGCTGATTTCGAGTTGGTAAGTTTTGTTTTCATCTGCTGGTTTCAAGATTGTCTGCATGCACTATTTTCGTTTGCTGGTTTCAGTTTTGTCTGTATGTACGGTTTTCGTCTGCCATCAGCCCTGTCACAGCTCGGGCCAGAAACACAGGAAAGGACTGAGGCAGCACGTCACGTCTCACATACATGTGGTGAGAGCAGCTACAACATGCTAAGTCACCTCACTGAAAACCAGTGTTTTCCAGGATTTACAGTGTTACATCAAGACTGTACACAGACTTCCTCAATCCAACCATGATGCTGTTTCCAGAGTCAAATAGCAAAACAAAAAGAAGGGAACCCCACAGAGAGCTGGAGAGAGTCTGGTCTGCTCTAGGATGGAGGGCTGGAATTTGCACGTCTTCAGTGCATGTGGATGGAACAGGTGTCCTGGTAATTACTGTGTGTGTGTGTGTGTGTGTGTATGTGGGTGGGAGGGTGGCTGTGTGTACGCAATGTATGGAGCAGGTGTCTAGATAATTTCAGTGTCGCCACAGTGGCTGTTTGATGCGTACCTAAAGAGCCACCAACTCCCCTGGACCAGAAATTCCTTAATTGGACAAGAGATGTGCTGAACCGGTCATTACCCGTCTAATTGGGCAAGACTGCACAGTCCCGAGTGCCGACAGGGCTGGAATGGACTGCGCATTGTGCTGAGTGGGGGCTGCGGTGACGGCGACGACACAAGGACGACTTACTCTGTCCCACTTTGAGGACCACCTTCATTCCTTGTGTGGCACAAACACCCCCCCGCATGCTCTCCAGGCCCTGGCGTGTTCCATCAGAGGTCGCTACGAAGACAGGAGAGAGGGAACAGAGGTGTCAGTCTGAATCCAACCTTGCTTTGGTCACTGGATGCGCTTGTTGTTGACATGAATAACCTTAACCTTTAAATCATGTTAGAACTTCATCAGCATAATCTTCATCACTAGGCCGTTTTGTATTCTACTTTTGAATGTTTCTTTTATTAACTACAAAATTCTGGGAAGTCATGGCAGGGCTTCCTGCTGCTTTCGTGATGTTCAGTGCTGTTCTGTAGTAGTTTGACTCTTAATGGCTTTTCTCCCAAAATGGGACAGGGAATTTATGCACAAATAGAAGCTGTAGTTTCGTCATTGTGCTCTGCAAAAGTATACATTTGGTATATTAGCACAATGGTGTAATGCAGGGGTGGCCAATCTTATCCGCAAAGGGCCGGTGTGTATGCAGGTTTTTGGGATAACCTGTAGGTCAGCTGTTCAAATCCAGGTGTGAGGACTCTTCAGCCAATCAGTCCTCTAATTAGTAATCTAATTAGGGAGTTGCAGCGAAAACCTGCACACACAGCAGTCCTTTCTGGATAAGATTGGCCACCCCTGGAGTAATGACACAGGTTTTAGCCTAGTAATGCTGTTTAGTCCATAGGTAAAGTAACACAGCGTAAGCTCAGTGAAAACCATCTGGACTTAAACAGGGATCCTAGTTTTCAGTCCCTGGTAAGATGAGTAAGACCTGAGGTGAACCTCCGCCAGTGGCTTAGAACATGAGTGTCATTCTGTGTAATCTGCCCTATATGACTAAACACACAGAGAGGAACACAGGCGGCGCTTTAATAAGTGGTGGCTTTGTGCTACCGGTAGGTCACAGTGTGACTGGCGAGCGAGCAGAACCGCAGAAATGCACACGCCGTCTCCACATCGTCAGCTGGTCATTGCTCCACATTCTCCGTCCCAATTCCCTCTTTCATTTTATCTCCCTTCATTCTCTCTCTATTCCCGATCTCAAGGGTCAGGCTTTTTCAGCAAGTAAAAAAATAAATAAATAAAAAAATCCCCCCGATTTGTGCCGGGGGCTATAATGTAACGTCTCGGGCACTCCCGGCCGAAAGGACGGAGGTGTGAAAAAAAGGCGGCTGTGCTTATCACACCTCTCTTCCACTCTCACCCTCTCAAATGAGGCGGAGGAAGCGAGAGAAGAAAAAGAAAAGGTATAGAAGGGGAGTTATAGAGAGGGAACGTAAAATGAAGTGAAATGCGAGGCAGAGAGCTGGAGGGGCTGTGGGGGGGGGGGGGGGGAGTGCCGGCATATTTCCTGGCATTAGCGCAGGTTCTGCGGGACTTGGCGGAAGTGTCCGGGAGGATGAGGAGGGGAAGATCCTGATTGGCTGTGACAGGTTCTGTCATGACTGAGATGGCAGACAATGAGAGGTGATGTGTGCTGAGGACAGATGGGAGTGGAGGAAGAGGAAGGCAAGAGGAAGGGCAGAGATGAGGAAAGGGGTACAGAGAGGACACAGAATGAGGGGGGGGGGGTGCTAAGAGAAAGAAAGAAAGTGGGGGAAGCAGAGAGAGAGTGAGATAATCAAGAAAAAGGGGATGAGATGGAATGGAGATGACATTTGCGTGCCGCAGGTCATGGCGGAGCTTCACAAAGCAAAGGGGAGCGAGGGAGGAAGGACAAGAGAGGAAAGCGAGAAAGACGGGGGAGTGAGACTGAGGGCGAAGACAGAGAGGGAGACAGAGACACGGTGGGGGGCTCAGATGGCAGAGGGAACCGAGAACCAGGGGGGGGGGGGTCGGGTAATTGAGACAATGATCAGCGGTGATGGCGAGACGCAGAGCGGCCGAGGACAACGGTGCTGGGGAGGAGGCTGGCGGCCAGACGCGCGGCTGCATACGTGGGGACGGCTAATTAATGACATAAAGCCAGAGTCAGCGTCGATCACAAGGCATCGGGGCTGGGGGGGGGACTGCGGGGCCACGCCAAAGCCGAACAGCACACCATCTGACCCACGGTGGCCCAGCCGACCTTACAGACCTGAACCCAAGCCAGTTAGATGCCAAGGACGGCTAACCCTGACCTAAATTGAGTTAAATATTTCTAATTAGACAGCGAGAGGATTAAACAAAAAAGAGGAAAATGAGGCCCAGCGCAGAGAGTGGATTATGGAGAAAAGGGAGACTCTGGGGGCCAAGGGCGTAATGCCACACTGACCCAGCACCCACGTGGGTCCCGGTAATGCATCAGCGCCACATGTGGGTGTTTTAGGCTCCGGGCCACAATTACACCGAGGTAAAGAGCAGAATGATGGGGGGGGGGGGTTGGGTGATGCTGTGTGTTCAGTCCCCCCCCCAGACAGCCCATGGCAGCCGTCACCATTGAATATCCCAGACAAGTCACATTTTGGCTTGTTAAAAATAATAATAAACAAGACATCACATCCAGCCCTGTTTGTGGTCCCCGTGAAGCCCTCCCTATCCCTGGGATGGCCTGCATGTTGACCCAGATCTGCTTTAGCCGGGGGGTTATGTGGCAGGGTGAGAGGGGGACTATGGGAAATGGTTTTCTGAGTGACCTCTTGATTCCAAATCAAGTGAGGTCCCCCAGGGCTGCCCACAGTTGTCGCTTCAGCTCCAGCAGCAGAAGCAGACCCAGGAAGCCTGGTGTCATCCTTTCATCTTGTTTGTTTACACCAGTAACAGAGCATCATCGTGCCACAGCAGATAAGGAGCTTTAACCCTCTAAATAACAGCACTTTGTAAGGAATTGATCTGACATGATAAAATAAAAATAAAAAAACACCTAGCAAATTACTAACTAGAGGTGAACCTTGGTCTCTCGGGGCCTAAAAGGGGCTGTTTGTGAAGATGGTCACATGACTTCAACCCCCCAATTCTTCAAATCTTCAGCTTTGGTTGAGCAAGATAACTGTGCATGCCACTAGGGACGTACCACCTGGGTGAGGAGGCATGGGGGGAGGTACACGTACAAACGCACAGCCGGGGGGCTCGCCCCTCGCCTCATCCAGCCTTTCAGTGACATTTTATTTCTCTGCAGTCTTTCACTTTCAGAGTGTCAGCCCCCCTTTTCCATCAGTGCTGTCAGGGAGAGGCACGGCAGCCTGTGAACCTCCCACACGAGGGGCGAGATTCTGGGAGGCTCAGGCTCCCCCCAGTGGGAAGGGACAGTGGGACCTGCCCAGACGGCCAGCCTGCCACACAGATGAAGAATGCAGTATGCTGGAATGCTATGTGTCCTTGGGGCATTGTGATGTCCAGAGAGTGCCCAAGTGACAATGTTACATCCATGTGCATTCAACATGTTGGAGGGAGATGCGGGTCGGCTCTGAAGGATGCGAGTACGTCTAAAACAGAGCAGTATGTCTATGAGCCGGCATGCAGGAGAAACCTACGCAGGAAGAATGTGTACAGCAGGGGTCTCCAACTCCGGTCCTAGAGAGCTACTACCCCGTAGGTTTTCTGTCCCACTAGGCTTCTGATGAGCCACACCTGTTCCTGGTATTTACCTGAGAACAGGTGTGGCTTACCAGAAGCCGGGTATGATAGAAAACCTACTGGACGGTAGCTCTCGAGGACCGGAGTTGGAGACCCCTGGTGTACAGTGACACATGCCGCTATAACAGATAAACCCAAGCAGGGCTATGGGGAAAATATGCTTGGTTGAGAACTACATGATGCCTGTGGGCATTATGGGAATCTGGGTGCTTTATGGGAAATGGAGGCAGAAGTAATGGTTATTAGCATGACATGCTAGATGTAATGAAAAATGACTAACAGTGTGAATGTGAATGTTAAAGTGATGTGGTGTGTGTTGCTGTGTTAAGAGCCATGACACATTACATAAAAGACATTAGGAGTGAGAGAGAGGGTTTGTGTGTTTGGTGGAATAAAGTTTAAAAATGAGACAGGGAGAGCAGCCTGTCCATGTCTGTGTGTGAGAGAGAGTGTTTAGTTTGTTTGTGTAGGAGAATGTGTAAAGGAGAGTATCTGATGTGTGTGTGTGTGTGTATGTGTGTGTGTAAACACTGCACGTATGCTTAAAGAACACCTGGTATTGTGCATGTCACACGCGAGTCATGCATGTGCTATATGCACTACGTCGCTGTCTCCTTGACTTGTCAAATCCCTGTTGTGTCAGTCACCGCCACGATGGAGGGGGGGCTGCAGAAATAGGCCATCTCGGTTCCCCATCTCTCCCATGGCATCCAGTCACTTTTGGCTCAAGCCACTGGAAGCTTCCAGTCCCCCCCCCCCATTTACCCAGGCCCAGGGCCTCAACTCAAGCTCCGCTGAAGAGTGGCAGTTCCCCTGCCTGTATACCTGCAGTCGCCGCCTGCTCCACTGGGCACTGACAGAGCAAAGTGGGGACTCACAGTCTCGGGGGGGGGGGCACTTCAGACGTACCTCCAGTGGTATCATGAGGGTAGAGCTCTATGGGTGAGCCACGCACAGCCATGTCATCTAAGAAGCTCATTGCTTTATGAAGGGAGATGTGGTTGGAGGCCTTCCAATGGGGGGGGGGGTCATGGATCTTCAGTCTGGGAACAGGCAAAATCGCAAGAGGGCAGTGGGAAAAGGGG